TTCCAGTTGTTCTGTCCTTCCTTGAGAGTGGTGTACTGAAGTCTCCTACTACTACTTTAATGTTGTCTATCTCTCTCTGTCTATCTGTACGTGCTTGACGGATGCACCATGAGGGTTGTGCATGGGGTGCGCCTGGTTGTTGGGTGCACTCCTAGCGCCTCTAAGCACAACAGAGCACACCGCCCAGGCGTGCACCAACCTCACCACTGTTCTGGTGTTTGAGTCTGTGGAGCCACGTGCGTACCCATCTCGTTGGGGACCTTCCTCTTCTTCGCTGCCCCTCTACTTTACTAAGCGTGATGTCCTTCTCCAGGGACTGGTCTCTCCGGACAACGTGTCTAAAGTACATGAGATGAAGGCTTGCCACCTTTGTCTCTAAGGAGCACTCTGTCCGTACTTCTTGCAGGACAGATCAGTCTGCCATTTGGGCGATCCCTGGAACTTTCAATATTCTTCCCCAGCACCTTAGTCCAAAGGCATCGATTTTTCTTCTGTCTTCCTTAGTCCATTTCAAACGTTCACGTGCATATGAAACTATCGAAACGACCACGGCTTGGATCAGGCTCACCTTCATCCTCAAGGCCACACCCTTCCTTTTCAATTCTTTAAAGAGGACTGGTGCAGCAGATTTACCCAGTGCAGTGCGGCATTTGATCTCCTGACTGCTGCTTCCGTGAGCACTGATTGCGGGGCCAGGCACAATGGGATCCTGGACAACTTCAGTGTTTTCTCCATTGATCACGATGTTGCCCGTTGGTCCAGTTGTGAGGATTTTCGTTTTCTTTACATGGAGTGTAATCCATACCAAAGGCTACAGTCCTTCATAGGGGGCATAGGAATGTATGCCAATCCTGCTCTCCTTCTTCTTCTTCTTCTTCTTTTTTTGCTATTTACTTAATATGTTTTCCTCCATCTGCTTTGTTTTTTGTTTTTTTCACCTATTTTTGCATTTGTGTCTACGGTGTGTTTCTTGTCAGCAGCAGATTGGTTGGTCCCGTTTTCTTACCACCTGTTTCCTTAATCTGTCTCTTGACGGTTGCATTTAAACCATCTACATTCAGTGTCATTGTTGATAGAGGTAAATGTCTTGCTGTCATTTTGCTGTGCGTTTGTGAAGGGGAGGGGTGCGGCTGTTGTTACTGGCACCTTTGTTCCTTCTGATTTTCTATGCTGAGCTCATTTTATTTGGTTGCTTTT